TACCACAAACAAACTTTCACAACTTCATCGTTATGTAAATAAGTTGGGAGGAAGGCCTAACAATGAAATATTACAGACACCGGACAATTTAATTACACCTTATTAATATACAGTTCTATTAAAAATTATAGACGTTCTGTAATTTAAAATTTTATTTTTGTGTTTAAAAAAATCATTAGTGTCCATACTTACGTTCCGGTATAAAAGATAAAGATTAAATTAACTAATGTATTAATAAATAATAAGGTTAAGTAGCAAATAAACGTAGGAGAAGTACAACATCGTTGACAAAACCTCATACTTCCTCCACAAATAGGAACAGGGACCCAGACCACCCAGCTGTGGTGGTCAAGCACAAATCTCATATTTAAGAGTAAGTGGATTTGAATTGAGACTGATTGCTTTCGGAGCTGAAATGACCTAGCTGGTGATAGCCGACAGCACAAGAATTGAAAAAAGTAGATTTGGCGTATCTGGTTCAGCAAATTCGATTAAGGTTAAAAAGTCGCTCCTTGTCTTCTACGAGAAAAGGAACAGGATGGCTAACTCTTAGTAGCTTTCACAGTACGTTGATGTACGTTCATTGATTTTTTCAAGGGTTTTACATTAATTACTAGCTTTCTCATCGAAAAAGCGAAGTTACCGAAGCCTAGGTTCATTTAACAGCTGCTACTTGACATGCGTTCCCTTTAGGGGTCGTATTGTGATCAGAAGGACAATGAGGTACCTCTTGGCGCATTTAGTTTCTCAAGATAGGAGCGATGCACCTCCGCGTACGAATGGATAATGCCATTCTCGTATGATTTGGTGTAGAAGCCACCCCGGTCTCTAAGGACTAAGGTACCTTCTCACGCTTGCCCCTTCCGAGAGGTGGGTCGGCATTCCGACCGTGTGAAGTATAGCAGGGGAAATCTGTCACTTGAGACTGAAATGGTCAGTTAGGTTTCCAGCTATCCTCCCTAGATAGAGACGGTAAGGTTCTCCCTGAGTGTAGGGTTGCCTCCAGCGTCAGAACTTCCGGATCCGCTCCGACTGCGGTTTTGTTTAAAGTGGAAGTTCTAACTACCCCGTAGATAAAGGATAAAAGAGGCGGTCATAAGACCTTCTGCACCTCGACCTGGTAGATTTATTGTGCTCGCCGCCTAGAGGAACTCTGCCTTCGGTGAGAAGACCATAACAGCACCACCGGGTGTATGGCATGGTGTATGGTGTATGGTGTATGGCCGTCTGTACCACGGGGTAACTTAAATGTTTCAAAATCAGCCCAAAGTTACAATGGGAACGGTTTCGTGGTGGCGGTTGGTGGCGCGTGGTGACGCCCCTGGCGGGAACTTAGACAGAGGCTGTCTTCTATCTGTGACCTTCGTGAAGCTTGCGTATGGCCAGCGTAAAACCTCCCCGGCCTCACGGGAGACGTTGCAACCGGACGGCAGCGTGTATGAGTTGAGGACGCGATGATCATGCTATAGTCCCTCGAATGCGTGAGTAGCGGATGGAAGCGGGTAGTGAAGCGGTGTCTCTGACTCGAGTATGCTTTGCATTGTTGCCCGTATGACCGGCGTGGGTTGACGTATGACCCTTGGGGAAGCGAAGGTTCGGACCACCTAGACTGACCCTATGGCGTCCCTCGAATGCGCATGGCAGCTAAGCTCGACAGGAGGTTTGACCCTTGGCGGTGCTCATCTAGGGTGTGGTTAGCAATTCCACTTTAAACTAAATCGCTGCCGGGGCGTTCCCGGAAGTTTCTACGCTGGGGAAGCCCCTATACTCAGGGAGATTGAGTGACCTTCTCTATCTAGGGAGTACGCGGAGGGAGGACAGGGTGATGTATTTCGGCCTTTTAGCCCTTCGCGTCCGGCATACGACCCGTTGCACAATGCGGGGCCGACCATTCGGAGTGGACAAGTGGCGAGTGAGCCAGGTTGTCTTAGCCTTTAGGGGCAGGGGCGCCTCTACACCAATGCTGCGGCGATAACACCATTCCGTCGTATGCAGAGGTGCTTCAGCTCTCATCTTGAGAATCAAAACGTCCGATAAGGCCAAAAGGCCAGGTGCGGACGCTAAAGATCCTCTTGTCTTGTTGACGATGAGTACTCGGGAACACAACAGCACCACTGAACAACAGGCTCAACTGTAAGTACCGCCAGGAGTCTCACTGAGCTTGGAACTTGGAACATTGCGCTACCGCATAGTTCAGTTGATTATGTAACCTCCCCTTTCTTTGTAGATAGAATTCGGTACTCTAATCCATCTGTGATACTGATGAAGCACTCGCCGTCCGTCTTCTGACATATAGCCAGCACTCGACAGCTTGGGCTTTAGAGAGTTAACCACTCTCTCAAAGATATACCATTAGTGACACTAAGTATGGGTGGACTTAATCGGGACTTGCGAAAAATTGTTGGCAGAATCATTGTAACACTCACCGTATAAGGTTTAACTACGATGCACTTTTCCTTTCCTACGACGAGGTCATCGTCTTCACTCGCTCCTTTGACAGAATTGAATCTACTCCTCGGATCCCAACAATTTGTCATAGGGTGATCAAAAAAAGGTTAACGTTACGGTTGAAAGGAATCGGACTCTTTGTGAGCTTACACATTGAGTATCGGTGTAATGTGCAATCTCTATTATTATCTTTAAGGTTATTTTATCAGATTCCAATGTTTGTCGAAAAGTCATCTGTGTCAGAACTGAACTTTTCTCTTCCAAGATTAACCCTCATAAACCCGCTGTTTCTTCTTCCTGGAATCTTCACAGGCTTTTTTATACTGCTCCAAAGCTATATGCCTTCATGCAGTGTCCTGTCAGCCGTCCATCATTCCAGTCCTAGGTGTACTAGTTCTACCGTTAGTTTCTGCGGTACTTCTTTGATGGTCGATTTTCGCACTTTATAGACCAATACCAGAAGAAATGGTCAATTACTTCCACTAAACACTATACAAAAATTCAACTTCAACATTCAAATCAATATAACATCCTACCAATTTTTGTTTCCACCACGGGCGCCCCATCAAAACAATATTATTACTCTACGCGAAAATTATTTATGTAATAACTACTTAAAATTTCACTTCCTTTCATAATTGTAAATCATCTGTATTTAAAGCAAAATTTAGTCATGTTTCGTACAACTCCTAATTGCTTTTATAAATTCAAGGCATTACGTTAAAGGAAACATTACTTTTAAGTACCTACCTGTGGATGCCTTAATGAAATCACGGTGTTAAAATTACTAAGGGACTCATTCCTCCAAATGATCAATTAAATATGGTGACATTAAATAAATGCATAACGTGAGGAAATTTCATGGCAATTATTAAAGGCAGACAGTCGTTTAAGCCTCTGACACCATTAGTTGAAATTGTTCGGAGATAGTGAAACCACAGGATTATGTGACGTTTTAGCTCCGTGGATAGATCATTATTACATTAATAGAGATACCATAAACGTATGTTCATATTGAACGATTGTTTTTTGTTATTATCAATTACAATAACCCAAAAAATCTTTTAGCTCTCGCTCTCTCTCTCTCTCTCTCTCTCTCTCTCTCTCTCTCTCTCTCTTTCTCTCTCTCTATATATATTTTTTTTCTCTCGCTTCCTTTCCCTTTTTTTATTCTTATTCGCCTTATTTCACCTTGTTTTTTTAATTATTTGTTTATTTCGTCTTTATTTTTTTCAATCTTTTACTATTTGCATATTCTTTTACACACACACACACACACTCTCTCTCTATATATATTTTTTTTTCCTCGCTTCCTCTCTTTTTTATTCTTAATCGCTCCTTCACCCTGTTTTTTGTCTTTATTTTTTTTCAATATTTTTCCATTTACATATTCTTTTACACATACACTCTCTCTATATATACATTTTTTCCTCGCTTCCTCTCTTTTTTATTCTTATTCGCTCCTTCACCTTGTTTTTTTATTCTATTTTTATTTTGTCTTTTATTTATAGTTTTTCAATCTTTTTTCTATCTGCATATTCGTTTACTCCCATACTCCCTTTCTTTCTCTTTCTCTCGTGTATCTCTTTCTCCATTTGTTTTTTTCGTTTCATCCTATTTTTACTCGCTCTCCTTTATTTTTTCCTTAATCTGTGTTTAGCTATTAGCCTTTCTATACTTTTATATCTGCCATATTTGTTTAATTCCTTCGCTCAACCTCGCTCGCTCTCAACATCTCTCTCCCTCTCTCTCTGTCTCTTTCTCTCTGCCTCATTCGCTTGTGTCTTTCCTTCCTCTTCTTTATTCCTCTCTCGATTCCTTTCTCACTCTTCTAATTATCTCTAGCTTTCTCATTTGTTTGCATTACTATTGTTTCTCTTTACTATGTCTTTAATTATTTATCTTACTTTTTTAATATCTTAGTAATTTTTTTTATATTTTCTCTTTATCTTTTTCACTTTCTTATTTTTCCTCGCTTCCTCTCTTCATTTCTAACTCTTACTCCCTTTCCCAACTTTACTCATTCTCAAGCTGCTATTTTTTCACTATCATTATTTTTTCATCTTTTTCTATTTGTCAGATTTAAAAAAATATATCTCTAAACTTTCTGTTTCTTTCTCACTCCCTACTTCTTTTTTTCTTATTTTCTCTCTCATGTTTTTCCTTTTTTCATTCTATGTTGCTTTGAACTCAGTTTTTTATTTTTTCTATATATCTTCACTTTTAATATGTAATACTTTTTTAATTTTGGGTCTGTTTGTTTCATTCACGCTCTCTCAGTCCATAACTAATTTTTTGTCTGGCTTCTTTCTTACTTTCCTCACTCATTTTTGCTGTCTCATCTCTTCTTATTATCTTCTTTTGCAAAATTTTCACTTTCTGGTTAATTATCAATTTTCAAATCTTTTTCTGCAATATTTTTTTGTCATTCCCTCTCACTCACTGGTTTAATTAATTTGTTATCATCAGTGAATATGTTTATAGATTTTTTTATATGTTTGCGAATCTTTTTGTTTTCTTCAATATTAATATTTCTTTGTTTGTTTTTTCAGACGTTCAGCCACTTTGAGCACAAATGTTGAGACTTGAACGAGGCTGTAGACTCCCGGCTCGCCATGCTCCCTTCCAACGTCGTTTCATTTATGAAAAAGGTAAGGAGGGCAGGATTAAGTGAACATTTTCATCCACGGTATTTACCTTGCGACGTCGGTGCGGTTTACACTATCAGAGATAGGAGCTAATTGAGTTTTCCGTACGGCGGCTCGTTCGGGCCCTTGAAACCCTTCAACTTCCATTAGAGTCGCACCGTCTCGGCAATTCCGCCGGTTTTCCTTCCAGCTCCAATTTGCCATATCCATTTAGTTTGTGTATCGCGCTTAAAGTGATTTCTGATTTAATTCCGACCGGAAGCGGCTTACCGTACTACGACAGGAAGGAGTTTTAACTATCCGCCAAACATGCCCTCTTGGATTGTTAAATTTCAGTCAAAAACAACCACACATGTGATCGTAAGCATATCATCGGTGTTTTTTTTTAAATTATACTTAAATGATGACTTATCATGGACAAAGCCAGACGAAGAGGAAACACCTTTACTTTTAAATACATACCGCCAGTACTGCTCAGCTGTTTCGGGTCTGGCTTGTTCCTTCCTTTCCTTTCCTTTAATGGATACCAGGGAATGGAGGAGTTCCATCCTGAGCACTGCAGCTGAGCTGTACAGCTTATTGTACTTTATCCCTGGCTCCATATTTTGGGGGAGGGCTCGCAACACAAATGTGAACTTGAGCCCCCGTTGTACCGGTGTTCTTCCATCGAAGAAATTCATTTTTGAAGGGGGTTGGGACCAAATTCAGGGTCGCTGAGATCCGATCCCGACCCTTCCATTGATGAGTGCCGTGTCAAATTCTTTCAATTGCGGCCACCGGTCCCCTTAGGCGTCAGAAAAAGTCCAGAGGATCGAACCCACGACCGCGGGATCTACTAGCCGAGAGTCTGACGCCTTAACCACTCGGCTACCAAGACAAACACTTTGAGTGAATAGAAATACTTTGATTGAATATAAAAAAATATATTATGCATTGTATAAATTCACTTTTCCACATCCTAAATGAATTTGTTAAATCTAAACAATGTTTGTAAATCCCAGGCCCTGAAGATGATCTCAATAAAGATCGAAACGTTGGCACGATAAAGAAAATGTTTTTCTGAAACCTACATCACACCAGACCGTATCTCACGATTTCTGAATATTACTATGAGGGTTACTCTACATCATCTTAATTTTTTTTTTAGATCAAGAAATACATTAAAAAACATTTGTGGGTTAGGCTGTGATGCCAACTGCAAAAATCCATTTAAAACTCTAAAAATATTCATATTACCTTGTTTGTAGGTATATTTTTAATTGTTTAAAAAACGTTTACTATAATTATAACAAATGACCTAAAGTAAAAGATGTGCATAAGTGTAATACTAATAAAGGTCACTTAATAGAACTCATTAAGAGGAGATTGAATAATGTATGTAAATGTTTAAATTTTTTATAATACTGTATTCATCAACATAAATTATTTAACGCCCCCCCTCCCGACAAAACAACAGGACAAAACACAGTATGATATAAAACTGCGAGAGAAAATACGGCGTTCGTTTTATGTTAAACCATCAATACTGCTCGGTTTTTCCGAATTGTATACTTACAGTATAATTGTAAAATTATGCCCATTGTGGTCTATCTTTTAAAATATCTTGTATGTATGATTTTTACAAAAGTACATTACAGTAAAATAGGCATTTATGTATGCAAAAATATAGTTTTTCTTTGTTGTATTTTATATTATAATGATTTACTATGTTTATTGTAAAATATGCAACCCTTGCTAACAGAATTTTAAAGCAAAAATCTTTGATTTGTTGAAATAAGGTCAAATTATACCGCTTGATGATTAAACAAAATGACTATTCTTACTGAATAAAAAATCGTTATCAAAATTAAAATTTATCAAACCATCAAGAAGAAGTGTTAAAAAATCAGAAAAAATTCAGCTGTTTCGAATGAACAACGGACGCTAACCCCTGCATCAAGTGGTAGAACATTGGCGTATCTAGCCGAAGATCGTGGGTTCGAATCCCGCACGTGACACTGACTTTTTTATCTCAACTTAAAACCATAATTAATTGAATGTTATTAATTGGTCAAGTGGAACACGGCAAATAGTGAATTTCATTAATTAAATTGAAGTATACTTCACTAAAGTTCTCCGTGGCAATTTCATTTGTCGCCGAGAATCCAATCCGATTACACGACATTTGAAAAATGGCAAAAAGGAGGGAAAATTCAAAAGGTGGGGTTGAGATGGGAAGTTGGTGCCCGAGGGGATCGAAGTCACGATAGCTCAAGTGGTAGAACATCTGCGTATCTAGCCGAAGGTCGTGGGTTCGAATCCCGCTCGTAACACTGACTCTTTTATCTCAACTTAAAACCTTAATTAATTGAATTGGTCAGCGGACCACGAAAAATAGTGAATTCAATTCAATGTTCAAAACATAAAAGCAAAAACGTTCCAAGATGCAGAATATTCTGATTTGGTATGATTTAAAAAGATAAATCAACAAAATACTGCTGTTTTAATCAACATTCTGTAAGCAAAGTAGGTCAGAAAATGGTCAAAACTTGGATTCATTGTCGTGATATTAGCGTTATAAAGCCCTTACATACCAACTTTGGCGAAAATCAGTGTAAATTAATTTTTTGAGTGGTAATTTCGACGACCTAATATGGCGTGACTGGCATTCCTGGTGCAAGCTCTAGCATATGCTTTAGAGTTTATTCTTTGTTTAAAGATCATTAAGATTTCGGAGAAAACGGAAAAATTAACTGTCTTTGTATTTGTAAGGACAAAAAAAATCAAGTTCAACGTCATCAGGAAGAAACGATTCTTTTTCAAATCGTTCAATTCAAATTGGAAAACCGCCAGGGCGTAAGGATTCTCCCTCAGGCAGACGTCAACTTCGCGTTGTTTCCTTTACATTATTACATGACAGGGGGCAAATGTTTGCCGAGGAAGAGGCGCCTTGTTTAATGAGCCCGAACCGTTTGTTAATTAGGTTTATCTCGTCGAGTATTAATTCGAGAAAGGGAAAGATCTAATCGGAAAATCAAACGTGAGAAAACGCAACAACTGTAACAACTCCCATCAACCGAGGTACACTAACAAGAATTACGCCCTTAAAACTACCGGATTGCTGTTCATTTCAAAGTTTTTAACATTAGTTTTATAATAAAATCTTAAGTACACCTCAACCCATTCCTACCTTTTTTATCGTACAGATTTTCAGTAATCACACGTAATAAATTGAATAATAAATAAACTAACAGGGGGATAAACAAAATAAATTGAAAAAAGCAATTCGTATGTATTAAAATAATATAACTTTAAAATTAAAATAAAATCGTTAACAATATCCTATATTGATGAACAAAGTAAAAAATACTTGTTACAATCCTTGACAAAGTTGGGACTGAGTCGGACTTCAAAGAAATTTGAGATCGCCTGTAAAAACTTAATATGTCAATCTTTAGACATATTTAAGGTTGTTTTGCGCTGATGATGACCTGAAATAGGTCGAAACCTTGGCTGTAGGAACTAAATTTGCTTTATTCTTCAAGGCAATACCTTGAGCCAGATTGTTCAAAGTAAAAAATGCAAACTAAAATTTAAAAAATGAAGGAAAAAATTCATTATTCAAAGAATCAGCAGAAAAATGAAGATTACTGATTCCATTTAAACCAACCATAAACAAAATAATTTTAAAAGAATTGGTAAATTTTCATTTATGTTATCTGTGGGAAATTAATTTTACAGGTTGTAGTGAGGAAAAAATCTTGAAAAATAATGCTTGGCATTTAAAAGCATAACTAAAGATTTATTTTAAAAAATGGTAGTACATTTTTCAATGTTTTGGTGTACAGCATTCATTAATGAACATAAATGCATATTATCCTGAATATTTATGAACTGACAATTTACAACTATTTACATTTTTTCTTCTAGTGACACGTTGTGTAATTCGTCATCGGTTCTTGATTCTTCTCTGTGGTTTTCAATTTGATGATTTTAATAACTTTGATTTATTGCTCTAGTATAAATTTTGTACAGATTCGTGTTTTCTAAAAACATATGCATATTTATGTCTTACCTGCTATCTTCCCGATACTTGAATTTATCTAAAACTCTCAGTAAAGCCATATTTTATCTCTCAAAGGTTGTATTAATTTCTCCTTTTTATCCTGATGTAATGTCGTCAGCAAACATGCCAATTCTTTATTTGCAAATTTAAGAAAAAAATAATTTGATATTGATATTTCACATAACGGCTTCCGGAACAGATTCTTTACGTAACATTTCACGTGTTGTAATTTCAAAGAATCTAGACCTTATTGTACATTAAATTGTAAGAAGAACGAAGAGTGATAGGGCCATCAGACATACTTTCCCCGCTTACCAAAAGAGAGGTTGAAACTGAAACAAACGCTTTAATAAGATCTAGGAACAAAGCTTACGCTGCCTATTTTATTACAAAACTAAATACATTGCCAAAGGTCATTTTTCATGTAGGATCTGCGAGTGCTATAGGATGCATATCACTGTAGTGGCCTGTCCAGAATGAATGTATTTATTAGCGTGAGTGGCGATGCGAAAGAACTGGAGGAATATCGAGTACTCCACAGGCCCGTCAAACAATTTGAACAACATATTTGAATATTTCAATTAATTAATATTTATAAAAGGTATTGGTTGAGATAAAAAGTCAGTGTCACGAGCGGGATTCGAACCCACGACCTTCGGCTAAATACGCGGCTACTCTACCACTTGAGCTATCGTGACCTCGATCCACTCGGTCACTAAAGTAGAAGATGGGAAGTTAGTGATATTTACAAATTCCATTCATACACTAAACTATCCTAAATTGTTTGACGGGCCTGACGGGCTACCACTTGAGCTATCGTGACTTCGATCCGCTCGGACACCAACTTCCCATCTCAACCTCACCTCTCGAATTTTCCCTCCTTTTTGCCATTTTTCAAATGTCGGAGAGCTTTAGTGAAGATATACTTCAGTTTAATTATCAAAAATCCATTACAGTT